ATCCCCACACCATTCCCAATCCCCACACATCCCCACAGACCCCCCGCTCTCGCCTGGCCCGGATGCGGAGCAGCTCCTCCCGCGTCCTCTCGGGGTCCGGGCGGTTCCGCGGAGCCATCGCTGCCCCGCGCCCGATCCGCGCATCCTGCAGGGATTCCGGAGCTGTCTCCCACCCCTCGGGACCCCCCAAAATCCCGGGAATCTCCCCGTGGGATCCATCCCTACCTCCTCGGAGCTGCCGGAGCTGCTGCCGGAGCTGCCGGAGGTTCCGTCCCGCTCCCGTTCCCGGTGCCGGAGCAGGAGGCGCAGGGCGGCTTCCCGGGGTCCGTGCGCGGCCAGGAGCAGCTCCAGGCCCCGCTTCTCCCGCTCTTCCAGCTGCAGCCGCTCCCGCAGCTCCGCCAGAGCCTCCTGGGTGTGCGGGGAAACTGAGGCACGGCCAGGGGACACGGGGAGGGACCGGGGAGGGATTCAGGGATTCAGGGATTCAGGGATTCGGGGATTCGGGGATTCAGGGATTCGGGGATTCAGGGATTCAGGGATTCGGGGATTCAGGGATTCAGAGATTCGGGGATTCGGGGATTCAGGGATTCAGGGATTCAGGGATTCAGGGATTCAGAGATTCGGGGATTCGGGGATTCAGGGATTCAGGGATTCAGGGATTCAGGGATTCGGGGATTCAGGGATTCAGGGATTCGGGGATTCAGGGATTCAGGGATTCGGGGATTCGGGGATTCAGGGATTCAGGGATTCGGGGATTCGGGGATTCAGGGATTCAGGGATTCGGGGATTCAGGGATTCGGGGATTCAGGGATTCGGGGATTCAGGGAGGGATTCAGGGATTCAGCGATTTGGGGATTCGGGGATTCAGCGATTCGGGGATTTGGGGATTCGGGGATTCAGCGATTCGGGGATTCAGGGATTCAGGGAGGGATCAATGGAGAGATGCAGGGAAGGATCCAGGACAGGATCCCGGGAGGAATCCATGGAGAAATCCACGGAGAAATCATGGGAGTGATCCAGGGAATGACCCAGGGAGGAACCCAGGGAGAAACCCAGGGAGAGATCCATGGAGAAATCCAGAGGGATCCAGGGAAGGATCCAGGGAAGGGATCCAGGAAGGGATCTAAGAAAGGATCCAGGAAGGGATCCAGGAAGGATCTAAGGAAGGATCTAAGGAAGGGATCCAGGAAGGATCCAGGGAAGGGATCTAAGGAAGGATCCAGAGAAGGATCCAGGAAGGGATCCAAGGAAGGATCCAGGAAGGATCCAGGAATGATCCCCAGCGCACCTTGAGCACGGCCAGCTCCTGCAGCAGCTCCTCCTTCTCGGGCCGCCTCCAGCCGGGCAGCAGCGCCCGCGCCTCCCTCAGCGCCCGCTCCGCCCGCGCTCGGGGCTCCCGGTCCCGGGGGGCTCCGGGGGGCTCGGGGGTGTCCAGCAGCGACCCCTCCACCGCCGCCTGCTCTGCCCGGAGCCTCCGGATGTGCTCCCGCAGCGCTCCCTCCTCCATCCCCCGGCAGCTGCGGGGCGGCCAAGGGGGGCGGTGGGCACGGGGGTACCCGCTGGGGAGGGGGGGGCTCAAAGCCGGGACCCCCGAGCCCCCCCCCCGGTACCTGCGGCTGTCCTCGGGGTCCCGGCGGTTTTCCGGTTCCGCTGCTCCCGGGGGTTCCGGGCTCGGTTCTGCCGCGGTTCCTGGGCAGGGAGTGTGGGTGGGGGGGCTTTGGGGTGCCCCACAAGCTCCCAGTGCCTCCCAGTGTCCCTCGGGCATCTCCCAGTAACCCCAGGCGTGCCTCACGCGTCCCTCCGGATTGCTCCCCGGTATTCCCAGTATCCCCCCAGCGTTCCCCCAGTACCTTCCGTGATAATTCCCAGTATCCCCCCGGTATCCCCCCGGTATCCCCCCGGTATCCCCCCAGCGTCCTCCCTTTTAACCCTCCAATTTCCCCCCAGTTTCCCCCCAGTCCCCCCAGTCCCCGTGTCCCCCGCTGTCACTCACCCCCACGGGTGCCACCCTCCGGTGTCACCTTTGCCCGCACCAGCTCCAGGAGGGCGGCGTAAGCCCCTCCGCAGCGCTCGCTGGGGGACGAGGGGATCAGGGGGGGCTGTTCCCGTCCCTGTCCCTGTCCCTGTCCCTGTCCCTGTCCCTGTCCCTGTCCCTGTCCCTGTCCCTGTCCGTGTTCTCCATCCCTGTCCCTGTCCCTCTCCCCATCCCTGTCCCCTCCTGTCCCCATCCCTGTCCCCATCCCTGTCCCCTCCTGTCCCATCCCTGTCCCCATCCCTGTCCCATCCCTGTCCCCTCCTGTCCCATCCCTGTCCCCATTCCTGTTCCTGTCCCCATCCCCGTCCCCACCTGCAGCTCAGGGCCAGCCTCAGTGCAGAGCTCCAGGACGGGGAGCTGTCCCCATCCCTGTCCCTGTCCCATCCCCATCCCTGTCCCCTCCTGTCCCCATCCCTGTCCCTGTCCCATCCCCATCCCTGTCCCCTCCTGTCCCCATCCGTGTCCCCATCCCTGTCCCCTGCTGTCCCCTGCTGTCCCCCGCTGTCCCCACCTGCAGCTCAGTGCCAGCCTCAGCGCGGAGCTCCGCGCCTCCCGCAGCCCCAGCTCCACGCTCAGCCGCTCCGCCTCTCCCTTGCACGCCCCGAGCGCCGCCGCCAGCTCCCGGTTCAGCTCCTGCAGCCGCGCCAGCTCCCTGCGGCCCGCCCGCTGCCTCAGTTTCCCCCGCGCGGGGCTGGGGGGGGCTGGGGGGCGCCTCGGGGGGTTTTGGGGGGGACTCACCCCTGCAGCTGCTGCAGCCGCTCCTCCTGCTCCCGGCCGGGGCTCGCCGAGGGCTGGGGGGACAGCGGGGAGTGGGGCTGGATCGAGAGGGGTTGGACGTGCAGGGGGTGCGGCCCGTGGGGCTGGATCCCGTGGGGCTGGATCGAGAGGGGATGGATCCCGTGGGGATGGATCGAGAGGGGATGGATCCCGTGGGGTTTAAATTCCATGGGTTTTTATTCCGTAGGATTTTATTCCACGGGGTTTAATTCCATGGGATTTAATTCCATGGGTTTTTATTCCACGGGATTTAATTCCATGGGTTTTTATTCCATGGAGTTTATCCCACGGGGCCCAGCCCTGTCACCACCCCCGGTGCCATCCCGCCGAGGGGACACCAGAGCCCCGTGCGAGGGCAGGACCCCCCCGTGCCCCGACCCGCACTCACCCGCTGTCCCGGGGGGCTGCTGGGCCCGGGGGTGTCACCGGTCCCGGGGGTGTCACCGAGCCTGGGGGTGTCACCGAGCCTGGGGGTGTCACTGACCCCGGGGGTGTCACCGGTCCTGGGGGTGTCACCGAGCCCGGAAGTGTCACTGACCCCGGGGGTGTCACCGGTCCCGGGGGTGTCACTGAACCCGGGGGTGTCACCGGTCCCAGAGGTGCCACCGAGCCCAGAAGTGTCACTGATCCCGGGGATGTCACCAGTCTCGGGGGTGTCACCAATCCCGGCGATGTCACCAATCCCGGCGATGTCACCAATCCCGGCGATGTCACCAACCCCAGGGATGTCCCTTCCAGACGTCCCCGGCTCCTCCAGCCTGGCCAGAGCCTCCCGCAGCTCCCGCACCTGAACCGGACCCCGCGCTCAGCACCACCGGCACCGCTCCGGTGCCACCCTCGTGCTGTCACCGCCTGTCCCCCGAGCGCGCCACCCTCCCCGCACCCACCTTGCCCTGCAGCCGGTCCCGCTCGCCCCGCAGCTCCCGCAGCGCCGCCGCGGCCCTGCCCAGCTCCCGGTCACGGTGGCCCAGGGTGGCCCGCAGGCTCTCGTTGCTCGCCGCGGCCGCCGCCACCTCCTCCGGTAAGCCCCGAGGCTCCTCCGCCGCCCAGCCCGGTGTCCGGCTCAGCTCCTCCAGGCTCTGGCGGTGCCGGGGGTCAGTCGGTGCCCGTGGCGAGGGCCCGGCGGGGGTGGCGAGGCTCACCTTGAGCGCTCGGTGCCAGCCCGGGCCGGGCGGGGGCCGCGCCGGTGGCCGCCGGTGGCGGGAGAAGACGGCGCGTTCCAGGGAGCTGACGGCGTGCTGGAGGTGCTCGAAGAGATCCGGGCTGGGAGCTGGGGACACGGCCGGGATCAGGGGGGGACACAGTGACACCGTGACACGGGTGTGTGACACCGTGACACGGGTGTGTGACAGCCTGTGTGACCCCGGGTGTGTGACACCCTGTGTGACATGGGTGTGTGACACCGTGTGTGACCCCGGGTGTGTGACACTGTGACACGGGTGTGTGACACCGTGACATGGGTGTGTGACACCCTGTGTGACACCGTGACACGGGTGTGTGACACGGGTGTGTAACACCGTGACATGGGTGTGTGACACCCTGTGTGACACCGTGACACGGGTGTGTGACACCGTGACATGGGTGTGTGACCCCAGGTGTGACACTGTGACATGGGTGTGTGACACCCTGTGTGACACCGTGACACGGGTGTGTGACACCGTGACATGGGTGTGTGACACCCTGTGTGACCCCGGGTGTGTGACAGCCTGTGTGACACGGG